AGCTTAGAATAGGTTCTACTATCTAAATCTATAATAGTGTTTTAGTAGATTATAATAGATTATAACGATTTTATAGTATTTTTAGTGATTTTAGTGTTTTTAGCTAATTTAGCAATATTATACTATAATAAAACCATATTCATTTTTATCAGGTGAAAACAGATTCATACTTTTTTATATTTTTTTGATTCGGTTAAATTAGATCTGATCACTATAGACGGCTAAATTATAAATTTTATATCACATGAGATCTCCCTTGTTCCTAATCAGTTTCCAGCACTTCCTCACAACCTTCTCACAACTCAAATCACAGGATGAGTTACAGATTAGCATTGCGTTACCAATCAGATTTTGCGCATGTAATAACTAAGCCACCATTATTTATTATTTGATTAATCATCAATTCATCATTATATTTTTCAGCCTTAATATAATTACAATATTAATTTTATTCACAGCTCAGTTGAATTATGTCACTTATAAGCAAGCCCTTTTCACTTATCCGCTACATCACTTCTCTGCTTCCCATAAAATATTTCTAAACTGTAAAAATGTCTTTAAAGTGAAACGAAGAAGAAACTCATTTTCTTATTGACAAATGAAAAAATGGTAATGAAGAATACCATCAGACCCCTAAATGTAACAAGAGAATCTTCTGGAAAGAAATAGCAAATAAGCTTAACCAAATGCATAATATGAACTATTTCACTGGAGAAGGCTATAACAAGAAATTCCTAACTCTAACTCAGGCTTACTATGTAAGTAATATAATAATTGCAAATTAGTGATCTGAATCTGAATTGATCTGACTTTTTCTAATATGATATATGTAGACGACTAAGGTCTATAAGAAAGGAAGTAAAAAAAAGAGGAGCCTGGTCAGAGAATAATATTATGCCAAGTTTTCATCTGAATTTTGGAAAGATCTCGGTAGCCTTTATTGTGATAAGATTCTTCACTTGAAAAGTTATACTAAAAAATGTTTATTGATTCTAGAAGCATCTCCCAGCGTAGTAACATCATCATCACCTAATACATTGAGAAGATCTCAACCATCGAGAATCCCAAGACCAAATTCACAAGTGCCCACTTCTGCTAATACTGCCAGAACCACTTCAAAACCTCTTGAGTAACTCCTTCATCTAATATATCTTATCCAATGACACCTGCCGTATCAAGACCATCCTCTAGACCAGTAACACCATCCTTTTTTCAAAACGCCAAAACTATTAATTTTTTTATTAATTTCATTGAGCTGGACGAGAAATAGGATGTTTTTTACTTTGCTGTTAGTAGAATACGAAAGTAAATGCAATAATAAATATCACTTGTAAAGCATAAAGCATGTTTTTAAAAATTCGAAATAAAAGATCAATCATTATTATGTTTTTGTAAAACAATATATGATGGGAAAGTGCTAGCTAGCTAATAAATTAGTTTAAAGCATGACGTATATTATATCACATATATCACCCTAGATCCCTGCCAGTTTCTTTCTTCGATCATTTTAGAAACTATCTATAATAGACAGATCAGTTGCAACTTTACCTCATTAACTAAATGCATTGTTTTTACTAATAAATGACCGCGTCTCACCCGTGACAGACCCGCGCACTAGTACAAGTAGCGTAGCATAAAACTAATATATTATTACAAAATAAACATGTATATTTTTTTAAAAATCAATTGAATTCTTTATTATATTTTTTTATGCATGAGAAAGGGCCGGCCGGCTATGTAAAAATGAAAGTAAAAAATAATAGAGTAGCAGGTTGTTCAAGGGAGAAATAAAGCATAAATACCTGCTGAACCCTAACCCATATATTGGCAGTTCCTTCCCCGCTACTCAATATCGATGTAAATGAGTATTATCTATCCAAGCACCTATCTTTTCTAAGTTTTTGCTATTTAAATTTTCTCACAATAAAATCCCTTTATTGTATCTTTCTCAATTACTCCCATCTCAAGTCTACTAAGAATATCAACTGATACAATGCCATACATCTAATCTAAAGAATAATCATTCACACCCTTAATCCTATCAAAGATCTCCATAAATCGTTCCTGGATTACAGAAATGATATTTACAAATTTTTGGCTCGAGCCTACAATCAAAAATGTTAGTCAAACCTCTAATTCATAAAGCATTGATTATCAAGAATTATTGTGTTTATCTTACCAGAAGAACCGGAAGAGCTTGAAGATGAATTAGCTTGAGAGCCTCATGAATCAGTTTCAGATTCATTAGTCAAATTAACTTCAGATTTATTGGACATACTTTGTTGGTCAAGATCGAATCTTTGAACTACTGCATAATGTTGATTTATTTTGTTTTGGAGATCTTCGATAATGATATTAATTGACATGAATCTGGATGTAATACTGCCAAAGTCATTATGGCAGGCTTCTTCAATGTTATTAAGTCTTCCCAATATTTTCTGCGCTTCTGTGGCATAGCCAGCATCATGTACCTTAATTTTTTCAATTTCTGCAGTGAGTTTACTATTAAGTTCAGTATTAATTTTGCCGAGCTCTGCAGTGAAAGAAGAAATAATTTCAGATAGGCGTGCGGTGAGTTCATTGGCGATTTTAGTATTAACGATTTTAGCAGTAAAACTTCCATCACGTGAGGTGAGATCATCAATGATTTTAGTGTTAATTTCATTCTTAATTTTAGTGATCTCTACAGTAATAGACATATTGATTTTTATATCACGAGCGGAGAGTTCATCGGAGATTTTTTGTTTGAGAATCATCCACATGGCAATGATCCCTATGAATATCGCCAAAATAACAAACGAAAAAATAGCAGATAAGGCCAAAAATGGCATACTTCCCGAAGAGTTGAGCAATGATAAACTGGACATGATTAGGCGTAGTAATTTTATTGAGATTTTATTGGTAGATCAAGTTTTTTAGATAATATCGCTTGATTTTTTTAATAGCAATAGTTATCTTGCGTAAATACACTGAGAGAAAGGTTTATTTTATACTGTATGCTTACTACATATGAAAAGAGAATTTAACCCAATTTAATAAAAATTACGTTACTTTATTATGTGTATTTGTCATAATTCATAATTATATTTTTTTAGCTAAAACAATTATAACGGCCTGGATCTCGATCTCGTCTAATAATAACAAATTTTCCTTCCTGAATTTGGGACGCATTTAACAATAGTACTTAAATAAAATCTGACAAATGACAAATTGATATGCTGTGATTTAATATTAATAGAGTAATAAAGATGAGGCTGTTATCAAGAAATATACTGTTTATCGTTAAAATCATACAAGATCTGAAAGATCGCGCGCGTTTTTTGCGTAATTACACATTGTTTAAACCTCTGGTTGTACTTCCAATCCCTATTACATTTCATAAGATCGAGAAATGTAAATCGGTAGATTAAGAGGCGTAATTTCTATTCTTGTCCCATTTTAACATCAGGGATATTAGATTAACTTACATAATAATGCTAATTCAAAGATTTGTAATATGTGTATTACACTACAAGTCCAGAACCTTCTGGAAAAAAAAAGTCAAACATCATCACTGGATTAATTATTTATTGATCCCAGTTTTAAAAGAACCTTCTAAACCCACGATCTTCTTCCCCAAAAATATAATGGTATTTCATGAGATCTTGGCCTTGGCTTCATTGTTACAAAAATAGCATATATAAACCATTATTATAAAAATAGTACATCTGGATCTAAAAATAGGAGCACTGCCGAAACTATAAATTTGTCGTTCAGGTGATTATGCTCTTATTCATTGCGAAGAAGTATAGTGATGACGTGTTTATTACTACACATGATATATGCTTGGCTAAGCTATTCACGTAAATTCAAAAAAAGAAATAGACCTTGTAGTGAATCGAAATTGAAATAAAATATTTGTGATAACATCATGAGTATCGGTCAAAGCGTATTCCTAAACATTACCCATATTGGAGGGGTCTTTTTTATTATTATCATATTACAAAAGTTCAAGAATGTATGATACATTACATGCCTACAAGGATGCTACATCTCGATAATAATTTTCCTGCGCATCATTGAGTTCCATTTGTTGTAAGAAAATCTGTTAGTATGCAAATACAAAATCCCTCAATAACTAATATTCATGACATTGCATCATTACGCGTGAAATTAACAAATACACGAAACCAACTCCATATATGTAAATCAAGCCCAATATATAATGCTTTATTTCATTAAATTAATTATTGCTGGGAACAGCAACTAATACAAAATAAAAGTTCGATTACATGAAGTACGACTGTTATATGATGCGAAATGATTCTATTAAACTTAGCGCTATTTACCAGTAATATCACTATTAGAACTTTCCTTGGATTCACCTGATATTCTTATACCTTTTATTGCTTCTACAAGTAATATGGTATTTTTATTCATTGTTTCAATGAGATTCTTGTTATTTTCATCGATTTTTTCAATGAAATTCTTGTTATTTTCATCGATTTTCAATGTTAGATTAGTCATTGCATCCAGCATAAGCAGATGTTCTGCTGGTCGTAACCTTTTCTCTTTTAACTCATCATAATCCTGAAGTAAATAATTTGGTCTAGGATGATCCCTAGCATCAAATTTCAATAAAATATCCGCATTTTCTTCTATTTTCTCCTCCACTTTTTCCTTCCCCTTTTTCTTCACTTTTTCCTTTACTTTTTCCTCCACTTTTTCCTTCACTTTTTTCTTCACTTTTTCCTTCACTTCATTCCAAGCCTTTAGAATAAAATACAAATAAACATGCACGTAGCACTCTTGTATGTATTTATTCTGTAACTGTCCAGTTTCCCATGCTTTATAGTTAATTGCTATAGAATTAAAGTTTAAACTTTCTTATTTACTCAACAAGTCTTTCCAAAATCCCTCTTCTTGTACCAAAGCTTCGGTATTATAATGTCTGTAGTTAACACTTTTATCATCATTAGGACGTGGAATCAGCAATAACTCTCGAAATAGCAATACAACATACTCATCATCACTTAGTTTATTCACGACAAGTTTTGTGGCAAAATAAAAATTGCATTTAACTTTTCTTCCATTCCTAATTACCATATCTGCTTTGCAAACAATATTGGGATGATCTCTCCGACCTATAAATTAATATTAAGTTGGTAGGACTCAGTTAAATAAGTATTATTGGTAAAACAAATATTTTTTTTATCTTCATACTCACTGCACTCTTCTTTAGTAAATTTACAGTTAGGAAAGTATGGATAAAGATCAAATGCTTTGCCTTTTTCTGTCCCTTTATAATCTATAATAAATGGGGCTTCATCCTTAGATGAAACATTAAGGCGTGTGGTTGTAACATATTCTCTCGCAATTCTAACAGCTTCAGCAAAATCAGGCATAGTACGAAGATAAATATCAAACCATAATGAGGTATCAAGACAAAGCCAAAAATATGCTTTTTCTTTAAAGAAAACTACTAGATGAAATGATTGTTTTAATTTAGGACTTAAACAGCTCAAAAGACGTTTAGAAGCTTGAACAAGATCAGACGGCTCAAGATTAAATTCTAAAGTGAAATAAGGTTCATTTAATTCTTTTGGACCCTTTAGTGTGTCCATTGTACTGCTATAGCGAGCGCTTTAATGTTTTAATTATAGGTTTGTTATCAAAAAATAATTTTATAGAATATGTGACTTACTGCGTATAATATCTAAGCCACCCATGTGATTCAAAAAAAAGAAATATGCTTATATACAAATTCGCATAATTCAGTCAATGCGAGTAATTGATTCATCTAATAATTCTTCTAGGCGGTTACTGGAGAGATAATAGGACTCATTAATTGTGTATTCGATTTCAGTTTCTTTTGCATAAGCCACCCATAAGATTTGAAAATAAAGAAACGAAATAATATACAAATATTTTTTCTTTATAATTCCTCTGGTCTAAGCCACAATCGCGAACTTGAGTTTATTGCTTGAAGTGTTGCAGGTAAGACAATATTCCAACTTATCTTGAAAATAGAACTTTACTAATTCAGGATCATAAGGGAACTGATTCCCATTTTCGCAGTACCATGAGCCATATAATCCATAATTCCCATCACAAATAGGGCATGGTAAGCTTGATGGCTGAGGTAATGTAAAATCATAATTATCAATCCCTCTGAAACTATTTCAGAATTTTAAGTATGAGAAGTGCTCTAAGATAGATTTGATAATTAATTCTGGTTCAGGTCTGATTTCAAAAATTATAGGCCCTTTTTCTGGCTTTGAATTTATAACTTCTGATTCATATACTTCTGTTAGTTGCCATGACACATTTCCAGTTTGTTTTTTATATTTTTTGTATAATTTGGAATGAATCTTATCTGTCAAAATACTTGGTAATCCAATTAATTTGGTATGCCAATCCAGATATTTGGCAGTTAGTACTTTATCAGACTCAGTCATTTTCCTTTTTATATGACTGCAAACAATTTAAATCCCTGCCTCTTTGTTCTTCGAACTGCAGGATGAGAAAAAAACCTATCTGTTATACAGAGCCTGCGAGCCTGCAAGTAAGAAATATATCACTTTTCTCCTATCCCAAAATCTTTGATTGAGGGGTAAGACTATGCAGTTATCTCAATTTCACGCTGTTCACATTTAATAAAGTAAGATCTGACTTTATACTCACCTTCTATTTCTTCATCATCATGACCTAATTTGCATAATAGGCAGATGTAGTTCCTGCATGATGTCTCATCAGTAATCCCATAATAATTGAAATTTTCATAACTACATTCTCTATATAGATTAGGATATTATTCCAATATCTTGTTGCGAAAATAGATGCGGTCATAAGTTAACTTATATTGGGCTCGTTCATTAGTCTGATTGGTTTTTGATGTAGGTGGAGTGCTTGTCCTGACATCTGGTGATTTTTTCGATTCAGATTCAGCTGGCAGATCACGTGCGCGTAAATAATTATTCACGCTGATCAATTTTTGAGATTTAGTTAGTTCATCAGTATAAAGATTTATTATATTCTGGATTTGTGCATCAGTTAGTCTAGATATTGCATCAGTGCTAGATGTAACCAATCCAATTTTATCTATTCCTATTCCTTTAAACAAGGTATAGATATTTTTAGCCTTTTGTGTCATCTTACACAAATACTCTCTCTTTTTACCGGGAAGATACAGCTCCATTTCATCATAAATCTGCGTCCTTGCCATTTGATCGCTAATATTATTTTCAGATCTAAGAGTTACAACCTTTTTTTTGTATTCCTCGCTATAGTAATACCATCGTAATTTTTTTTTTGACCAGTTTTTTCAGTCTTATCGAATAAATGAGCTAAATGAGATACAAAACTTGGAGCTAGATCAGCGTTGACTGGAATATCTGAAATATGTTTGCTAGATATAGAATTCAGTAAGAATATAGAATCATGACATCTAATAAATTCAAGTAATTCACATATTAAATCTTGTTCTACTTTCTGATTATAGGGGATTTTCGCCTCCTTGATCTCTGATAAATTAACCTGTTTCTCTTTTATCTTCTAGGGTTCTATATGAACCAAGAAGGATTCCTTTGGAGCCGATTCTTTGACTACCTGTTTTGGAAGATCATGTTTAATGTTATTCATAAAGAGATCTGCTTCACGGTGAAGCGATTCAGAAGTAGTTGAGGATGGTTGGCTAAGTTTCTTTTCCCGATTTCTCTGTCTAATCTCATTACTAACCTTTTTTTATGCATCTCATCCAAGAAAGTGTCTATTTCCTTATCTTCAGGTAATAAAGTATCCACCAATGGTTTTTCATAATGCGTTATCGTGGGCACCTGATCTGCATCTGAATTGAAGTTAGATGAAATGTTGTTAGAAAAATTATCAATTAGCAACTAGTTCTGTTCTACTTTCGTGATTCTATCTCTAAACTCAGCATTCTCAGATTCGAGTTTAGTGGTAATTGTCTTATTTTTCTCTAATTCCTCGATTCTGGCCTTGAGTTTGGCATTCTCAACATCACGTCTTTTACTCTCTTCCACAGCCTGTCTTAGAAGCTCAGCAATCCTGGCCTTAAGCTTAACTTTCTCAGACTCAATATCAGCAAACTTCCTTTTAAGATCAGGGATCTCGGCATTCTTATCCTTAAGCTCAGTATTCTCCTTCCTAAGCTCAGCAATCTCAGCTAAGAGCTTGGCATTTAATTCTCTCAATTAATCAATGGATTGCATGTTTGATAATAATTTTTTATATAAAACGGAATAATTCAAAGTTTGTTAGCATAAATAAAAAAAAACTGTGACAAAATGTCACGATCAGAATTACTGATTTATTGATGTAAAAAAATAAATTATAAGATTCGAAAATACATAAACATTTCACAAAGTGAAATAGAGTCTCTATACTAATGCCTGCTGGTGTTTCGTTCATCTAAGCTATTTATATACTAACACAATATCCCAATACTAATCTGATTTCATTTGTCCGAACGATATTCTAGGTATAATAAAATGGTTGTTAGTTATACTATATGATGTGTCAGAAATAATAAACACTTACCTTAGGAAAAGCCCCGCCGAAAATTTATCTTCTGTGAGGTTCTCGAAATTCTGAACGAAAAATAAGTATTAGTTTGCAAGCTCCAAAGTCGCTAAACATCTTTTGATCTTTTGGTATTATTCAACTTTCAAGTAAATGAATATTTTATTGGTTTTCGTGTCACTTTGTTGATGATCACATTAATAAATACCTGTCAAATAATATAATGGCCATCTATGAATAATATTATACAAACCATCCTGATAATCCTAATAAAGTCACGATCAATATGATTTACAAAATACTTTCCATATAAAAAGCTTATAAATACAGAATACCAGAATGGCAAACAGGAAAAAAATGCAAGAGTTGTATAGTAAAGCATATGTTACCGGAAGTATCAAGTTTGACATTAGCGAACCAAGAGTAGAAAAGGATAAGAATAAGGAGGAAAATTTTTCTTGTAATTTAGCAACAATATTGGCAAGAGACCGAGAAGTGGTAGCAGTAGGCTTGAAACTTTTTACCGATAAATGTGTTGTGTATATTTCTAAAAATAAAAAATGGGACAAAGAGAAGGATATTCCTTATGTTCACAAAATCAAGGAATATTTACAAAATATATCTAGAGATGCTCCCATAATGTTGGATATGGCATTTGATAGAAAAGATGTGAGGAATTTATTCAAAGCTATAATGGACTACTGTTCTACTAAGTTCAAGTCTAGACTTGAAAAACTTAAGGAAGATATAACTAAAGGATCTAGAGGACCGCAAAATAAATATATTTTACCTTTCAAAAAATTTGCTGAAATTGAGAATGTAGATAAAGTACGCAGATACAAAATATCTGGGATTTGTAGCAGTTATTATAAAAAAGTCAAAGATGAAACAGTTGAAGATAATCTTAAAACCTGGTGAGAAAGATTTCTAAAACACTTCAAAAAGGTGAGATCTTACGATTCAGCTTTGGTTGATATCACGGCATGCGCCTGTAATGCAAAATATAAAGATCAATTTTCTAATATTAATTTGGTTATGTTGAATCCTGATATAGTTCATGATCAACCCATTTTTTCATAAGCGAATGTTATTCAAAAGTTTATTCATTCTAATAAAGAGTATGAAAAATTCAAGAAAAGATGTTTGGGTGATGATCTTATATTGGAAAGATTAGAGAAGATATATAGGAAAGTTAGTAACACAAATCCATATTTACAATTAAACAACGAAAAAATTGAACCATACTTATATTCACATGCAGAAATGAACATAATGGCCTATATTATAGACTGAGGAAATAAAAAACCAGCATTTATAGCAGTTTCTAAGCATTGTTGTTACTTATGTGAATTATATATAAAATTTGCACGAAACAAAGGATACCAAATCTACACTTCTGGAGCACATAATAAGCTGTATCATAAATGGTTGCTTCCAAATACAAGGGATATCACCTTCAAAAACGATGCCTTGAAATATATGATAGCAGATCTTAATCAGATCATAAAGGAAGAATTAAAACATCACGTTGATATTAAGTCAAAATCTGATAGTGAAGGAGAAAGTGAGCAATCTGATAATGAAAAACGTATTGATCGTGCAAAAGTCAATGAGTTATACGAAAGCTTAGAAGAAAGCGATAACTAGATCTTTATATTTTACATATTTTTTTTTATTAATAAAGATGCTTAACAATTTTTATTAAAATTTTATAGTCAATGCATTTAAAAAGTTAATTATCAATTTTATTGAAGTAGCCAATTAGACAGTTTTTGATTTTCTTGTTGTTGACATTGTATATCTGTAAAGCCAGAATGCATGAGGAGGATAAAAAGGTTCACTAATCAGGACATCACCTCCGCAGGATCATTAATCACGAAAAACCTGATTAACAGTCTCTCCTTAATTTAATAATAAAAGAATTTAACATTATCTATATGTAAAGATCGTTAAGAACACATCAGTTTAGTCCACGTAAATTATTAAAATACGCATACAGTAATAATAATCTACACTACAGATGTTACATATGTAAATCAAGTCAGGTTATATGCAAACGTGAAGAATATTCACCTTGAAATAATACAAGTTTGAGCCAATTATGAAAATCTGTGACATTTTGTCATGATCTGATCAGTGTTGTACGTAAAAATTTTTTATTACAGTAATATAGATGTAACGTAAAAAATAAATATAAAGTTCAGGTCACCGCCTGTGATACATAATGGAGTTATTACATTTCTATCTTATTATTCCTTCGCAAGATTATTACAATGACCTTACCCTTTTCATTCCCCTCGATTCCTTCCAAAGCTGATATACCTTCTCCAACATTTCTGTCATGTCTTTCATACCCATATCTTCATCCAATAAGAGCTTGTGGTTTCCTTTTACTGTCTGGTATACATTCCATGAAATATCATTTTTCTACATCTGTCAAGTATCAATACTTGTGTTTGCTCTGCATTTGCGAAATAATGAAGACAATCTAAACGGCGATTATGCAAAGCTTCACCTTTTTTCAGACAGTAGTTTGATCGTGATTTTTCATACCTAAATTATGTTTAAAATAAAAAAAGTCACGTGTGTGTGAACAATTGTTCACGTAAATCACTTTTGCCAAGAAACATTTTTTATTAATACATGCAAAAAATAAAATACATAGCTCGGGACGTAGCCTGTGATACATAATGAAATTCCTATTCCTAAATTCTAATTTTTTTTTCCCACAAGATCGGGTACCTTTAGTAATTCGCCAGACCTTACCCTTTTTATTTCCCTCTCCTTTACATCAAGAGCTAAGTCTGACTTTTGCACCTCCTCCAACAACCATGCAATATGCCCGAGAACTTTCCTAACCATATTTTCCATATTCTCGTCCTTATATACAATGACCACCGGCTCTGATAGTTTGAATCTTAGCTTGTCTTGATTATTGAGTGAACATTCCAAAAAATACCATTTTTCCGCATCTGTGACAATTCTGAATACCTTATCCACGAACGTATTATCTTCCTCCATCTCGCTCACCTTACGTTTACAGTTTGATAAAGCTGACTCGAGCTGAACGGCATTCTGAGCAATACCCTTAAAAAAATCTTCATCCTTTACTTCTGTCACGCCAGCAGTTTTTGCTGTTCGGAGTAGGCCTATTGCAAAATCGACTGGTCTGTGTTCATGAGGCCTTGTAATATTTTTTTCTGGTTGAAGCTCAAACTTTCCCTTATATAGATTTACCCCAGCGACAAGGTACGAACAAACATACTGTAATTTCGATGCTTCATTCCCACTGATTGGAATGGATTCGAGTCAGGCCTCTAGTTCAGTTATAAGGTTTTTAAGTAATACCTGAGAAGGTTTGTCCTTTAAATCTTTGCACCCGCAAGTGAAAAGTGGGAATACTGATAATAATGGGTCATCCGATTCTCTGAATCCGTAGAGCTGACGCATTTTTGAGAATGTCTAATTTGAAAAAGCTTTTGAGGGGGTCTCAATGAACACGACAAGCTTGAAATTGTTCTTCGATACGAACTGCCAGAGCATTTTGCTGAAGTCTTGATCATTCTGAGACGAGTATCTCTTTACTTTATACATAAAATTTAGCACTGCACCGTCATTTTCAAGGGTTGGCAACCTGAGGTTCATTTCATATATAGAATTTTTGAGCCCTTTAAGGGTCGCTTCTTCTATGTTTACGATCCACTTGAATCCATTCGTTCGCTTCAGACTAATGATGACATCGAACTCTATAAAAGCAATGGTTAGCCTAAGCCCAACGAAGTTTTCAACTCTTTCCTCTACCATACATACCATATTCAGACTTATTGAGTAATGCCTGCAATGAGGCGAGTTGTTCTCTTAATTCTAATATTTCGTTCAAAGCGGTGATGGATTCTGGAGGAGAAACTAAAACATGAATATGTTCTTCAGAAGGTGAGTCTGAAAAATATTTTGAAATCTTTCTTATTGCCAACAGTTCATCACTATTCTCGAGTGAAAGATTGCTTAAGGGATTAACGTGATCATTAGAGATTGGCACTTTCCATACCCTGAGCTTGTCTGCAGGAAAATTGTCGAACTCTGGTGCCTTTTCTGCATTAATAACTTTCTTGAGGTGGCTAATAGACTTGTTCTTCTCAATATCAACTTTGAAAGCGTTTGCGATCTTATTTCCTTTGACGAGACATAGTAAAGTGATAGACAAGTTTTCGGCTTATATAGTATTTTTTGTGAAATATTATTGGCTCAAAGTGCGGTATGTAAGAACAAGAGTAAAAAGAATTTTATTTGTGAAAAAAATACCAAGGCAGACTATATGTGAGAAATTATTATGTTTCACAAGAGAGACCTGCTATGTGATCAGCCATATTGCATCATAGGTACAACGATGCCTAATCACTGTGTCTCACTAACTGTGAAGACTCTTCTTACTTATCACCTGACGTTTTTTATATAGGCTAGATTGGTTCAGATAAAAATGTTAGATTTATAGTCCATAGACTGCACCATTGCACGTAATCCATTTTTAATGTACAGTATAATAATAATACTTTATTTAGAAATAAAAATGTTGCCAGAACTGGTCTATAATATATAAAATTGGCCGTTAAGGCGCTTTGCACGACTATATCGCTACATGATGTAAATAAAAAATTACTATTTATTTGCTAGAGGAAGTTTTAGGGGTGGTGGGGTGTACAATGACCATTAGATTATCATCTTTTTCAGAATTAAAATAATTAAGAATTGCCTTCTTCGTATTCATAAGATTTTTTGGATGTACGCTATTTTTATAGAGGCCAAATCGAGCAGTATCAATTTCTCCTACAATGTAGTTTTTGAGTCCATCGACACCACGAATCTGAGACGTACCAACTACAAATTCATCATTACCATCTTTAATAGTAAGTTCGATATAATCAGTATCCATCGTTTTGTTTTCCTAAATACAAAAGCCCATAGTGAGATAAAACTCGCTCTCGCATATACATAACTTTTGCCATATACATACCTATTTTTTGCGTTATTTTTACAGGAATGATTTTGCAGAAAGTTAGCTGAACTTCCACATACTCCTACATACTTTATATCTTGCTGAGAAAAAGAGTGTCAAGCCGAAGTTAAGGAAGTATGAGGCGTAATTAGTACAGTCAGACCTGTCTATAATCACCACTTTTGGTTTTCAAAAATTATGTGATTATAAATAGGGGTGATTAT